CTATTCACTAATTGCTGTCTATCACCAAGGAAAAAAAAAAATCCTTTTGGAAATCACAGCAATTTTTTTCTTTTCGACGTCTGATGATGATGACATGATGACGATGATGATGTTAATAGTTACGACGGTAATGACTATGGTTCATTTAATAAGTCACTTTACCGGTTTAATTAAACAACAACTTCAGGACGAATCAGTTCATTGCAGTCGTTGTCGTCGCCGTCCCAACTAGTAGTATCAAAAAGGGTCAATAATTTGTGCAGCTGTACATCCAGCGTATATATATTCAGAAGTATAAAAGCAAAAACAAATTTTAGACCGAAGTTTACTGGGTACCCACTTTTTTGAAGCTAAGTTGCAAGCCGACAAACTAACAATTAATAAGCAAACAATTATTCCAACATAACAACCATTTCCAGTTGTCACTTGCTTTTTACCTTCTCCTAAAAAGGTGGAACACGTATATAATGGCTTAGCAGTGTGTATTCATCCATACTGTTTCTGTTGTTGTTATTGCTGTAAATACACTTTCGTCATATTCATCAATCGCAGGTGGTTGAGTTTGGCACGCTGTTGAGCAAAAAAAGAAATGACACGATAGAATTCGGAAAAAAAAAGAAAAAAAAGATTATCCTGTTGTACTGATAATCATCAACACAGAACTTATGATGAAAAGCGTGCTACGCTAGAAAAAAAATAAGCAAAGACAAAGCCAAGAGAATTTGCAGAGACAAGAACGAGAACAAGCAGAAGATCAAAAAGATAGAAGAATTTAAGACATTGAAAGTCCAACAAGTTTGTTATTAGTTATTTCGTAGTTTGTTAAAACAAACGTTTAGAACTCTTCAAAAACAGTAGAAAAAATAACAAGAAAGAAAAAAGAACAGTATAAGAGTGGAGAAACGAATTATTTTTTCCGTTACAAAGCTTCTTTTTGGAAAAAAGTAGGTCGAAGTTCACTGCAGTTTAAAAAAAAAGCGACAGTGGAAGGAGGAAAAAGTAAACGGTAATAAAAAAGATCGTTTCATTTTTCAATCCATCGCGCTGTATCGTATCGTACCTTATCCGGACCAACTTCACCCCGTTCTACTTTTATACCTTTTTTCCTTTAACTCAAAAAATCAATCAGGTCCCTTCTACCGAGTCATTTTAGAAAAAGATGAGAAGAACAACAGATCCACATGACGGAAATTCCAACCGAACTACATGGGAAGCATGAAAACCAAGCAAAGCTCCAAGAGTTTTCCAATCGACTGGTCTCCTTCTTTCCCAGACCCTTTTCTTATTCCCATTTCCTTCTTCTCTTCCTTCATTCCGTCCTTTTCATACACTGTTTGCTTAAAGGCCCACATTAACAGAGCAATAAAAAGGCAATTTTAAAGCAGACCGAAAAGAAGAAGATCACTTTCAGCCATTAATAGTTAAAATTATTTTTTCCTCTTCATTTTCTTTCACCACTTTTTTCCTTCATCCGCAAACTCGTTAACTTTTTTCATATCTGAGAATTTTTAAACTGCAAATTCTACATACTGCTTTTCTTTGTTTCCATATTTATCTTCATCAATTCTTCTCAACTACTTTTTCTTTTGTTTCCCTACAAATAACAAAAAACATTTGTTTCTCTCCCGCGATTTACTTTCCTTTTTTTTCGTCCCTTCTTTTTTTTGACAAACATAATCCACCACTCTCAGACATACGCATAGACAATCAGCAAATTCCAAGTTGATGAAAAAAGACAAAAAAGGCGGAGGAAAACATAGACTGTGGTAACCCTGAATTGCTATTTTTGCTGAAATTTAATCCAGGCAGATACAGTGACATTGTACTGTCAAAGAAAAAGGGTGGATGATCAAATGAAGCAGTTAGAGCAATACT